CTTTACATAACTCTATGCAGTTGAAACAAAACATTCTATCCCACAGCCTGGGCATTCCTCATCTCCTTAAAAGTGAACTGTGGCAGAAGCTGCCCTTTCTTTGAGAGCCTCATTCTCGGTGGTCAGAGGACACCAAGCAATGCGGGCAACAGCCCTCCGCGGCTGCATCCCACGGGCTGCTCTCCAGGGCCGGGGCACAACCTCAAATTCACTGTTTCACCCCAGGAAAGCCCAATTGTTTTTTAATACCCCACACTTCCTGGAGGCTGTGGAGTAGAACTCTATTCTGCTTCCAATTTGTCTATGAGTTAGGAGACTTTGGTTACAAAACAGAGAGTCCAACTCTGGAAAACTTGAGCAAAAAAATGGCTGCATTGGAGAGATACTAGATCAGGTCAAAGTCAAATTAAACAACCAGGTTTGAGAAAGGAATGAAGGCAACATGGGGATGGAGGTGCTCAGAGCCCACAGATCACCTTGTTAGGGGCCCTGCAGCTAAAATGCCTGAGTGACAACACTCTTCTCTAGCTAAAAATTCCCAGAGAACAGAGTCTAACTGGACTAGCTTAGGTCATGTGCCCATTCCAAGGCTGGGGAAAGGATGGAGGAACTCCCACAGATGGTTTCCCCAGGACACAGACAGTGGAGGCGTAGTTTCCTGAAGAAAAAGTGGGGTGCTTTCATTAAAATGAGGGCAAGGGATCCTGGGTGGGCAAAACTGACAAATATCTTTTATAATACTACCCAGTGGGAGTGGGAGCTGGGCAGCTTGGCTTCAGCAGCGACAGAAACCAGGAAAGAGACAGACAGACACTGGCTGACTCTGTCACAGGGCAGACAGCATCTCCTAGCTCCATATCTTGCGGCGCCTCCACCAGAGAACTCCTTCCCAGTTCCAGGCTGAAAAATGCGTCGGAGATGCTGACTGGCCCAGTTCCAGATGAGGTACTGGATCAACCCACTGTAGCAGAGCGTTGGGTCTATGAGAACATGGCAGCCATCATGTGAACTGGCTGATGTGGGAATCGAGCATTTTCTAGACTTCCTGGTAAGTGAGACACGTTCCTCCAATTTAAGATCTTCTCCCTTCCCAGCCCCACATTGTAGATCAAAACACGGAGACCCAGGGAGGTCCAAGGTCATACCTGAGTTTCTCTGTTTAGAGAAGAGCTTTTTAGCTTAAATAAGGGCCAAATAGAGTGCTCATAGTAGAATGGGGGTGGAAGGGAATCTGGTTGCCTCCTGAGGTACTTCTTGAGGCTCCCAAGGGTGAAGATGACCTATCAGCTAATAACCACCCTTCACACGCATGTGGCGCTCAGTTTATAGCGTGATTTCATGCCCATTATCTCATATACTTCTCACAATAGCAACAATGAAATAAAATTATCATTTCTGGACAGCTGAGGACACTGTGGCTCACAGTGGGATGACCAGAAAGTGGCGCATCAGGGATTCGAGCCTCCTGATATGGGGCTATACTCCCCGGGCACCACATCCCACTGTTCCCACTCTATGAGACAAACTGAACTCCCCAGGCATGGCTTTGAAGTGGGGCTCCTATTATGAATTTCTCCTCATGCTCTGGACACGGCCTTCAGGTACTGGCTCCATGGGATGGTCCTTGGTGACTACCGGACCTCCTATTCCAGGCCGGCCGGGACCTGAGCCTGAGCATGGGAAGAATTCTCCAGGAAATTTAATAAGTAAGTTGAGAAGCTAACCTTGTAAGGCAGGAGCTTTTGAGATGAAAGGGACAGTGTCTTCCAGAATCTTTTCTGCTAGAAAAGAAGAGGAGGACAAGGGCGGATGTAGACTGGTGATTAACCTGTCAAAAAGGAGTGGGTTCAGAAGCTTCAGGAAATTCATGAGTTCAAGAACGGGAATAGCACACACCTCAACATTGGCCCTGCTACTTACCCAGTGCCTGATCCTGGGTTGGACCTTTGATCTCCAAGAAGCATGTCTCAAGGTCGACCTCCATCCTCTACTCAGGCTGGTATCCAAAGCCCTCCCCCACCCCCATCTTGTCCTACCTTCTTGGATGGGTAAGGAATCCTTCAGTTACAATTGACAGAAACCCAACACAGTGGACCCAGAGTTCAACGGAGGTCACCAGGAGTAACTCTCAAGCCGGGATTTACTACAGTTACTTGAATCGGATGGGAGAACATGAGTAATATGGCGTGGTGTAGAAGAAAGACTATGGGCCCTGAGGCAGATGGACTTGTGCTCGAATCCAGCTACTTACAAGCTGTGTGGTCTTGGTTGGGTTTCTTTGCGTCTCTGAGCCTGTTTCTTCACTTGTCTTGTCTTCACTTGTCTTGATAGAACGATACCTATACCTCACAGTGTTGATGCCAAGTTCAAGTGAGGTAACGTATGTGAAAATGTCTGGCATCATAAATGCTAGGAAGGACACTGGAAATGCACAGGAAGGAAACAGAAACCAGCAGAGCTCTGGTTCTCTTTGGGAATGGGAAAGCAACTCTGAGCAGAGGGAGGGAAGTGGTCCGCACGTGTGGAGATCGCTAACCTTCACTCTTGGGGTGTTCACTATACTTGGGGCCACAGTTGGGGTCTCGGCATGAATGGCGGGGTCAAGAGGTCTGGGTTTGAGCTCAGACTGGATATATCAGACCTTGGTCCTCGGCTGCATTGTCTGTAAGGCCGCATGCTGGCTGAGAGTGGGCACCCCTTACAGGGCACAGGGTGATGGGGGGTCCCTCTGATGATTCTGTCTCATCAGGAATGACACTCGGACCCCTCCCCACCGACCACAAGTCTCCACACGCTCATCCTCACTTACCCCTCCCTCTCACTGCCACCTGCTGTCTGGTCTGTGCGCTGCATTCCAGGCACGGAAGCCCTCCTTTTTCTTTTTTTTTTTTTTTAATTTTTTATTTCTTCTCAGCGTAACAGTATTCATTGTTTTTGCACCACACCCAGTGCTCCATGCCATCTGTGCCCTCTCTAATACCCCCCACCTGGTTCCCCCAACCTCCCACCCCCGCCCCTACAACAGACCAAACGTCTGTCCTTGCCTCAGGGCCTTTGTTCTTGCTGTGCCTCCAGCCTGGGCTGTACACTGTCCGTGTGTTCCGCCTGTCTGGCTCCTTCATGTCATTCAGGTCCCACCTCCAAAGCCATCCCCTTCAGAGACCTGCCTGCGCGTATGCGCACACACGTGTGCACCTGAACACACACGCGCTCACACACATGGCACACGTGGACATATTGCTCAGTCTCATTCCTGTTTTATTTTCTTCGTGGCCTTTCATCTGCCTCTGAAATGATCGTTTACTCATTACACGTGACAGACTGGCTATGAGTGTGACATGTGACAGACTCGCCGTGTGACACGTGACACAGACTCGCCCTGAGTGTGACACGTGAGACTCGCCGTGTGACACGACAGAGTCATTGTGAGTGTGACATGTGACAGACTCGCCATGTGACACGTGACACAAAATCGCCGTGAGTGTGACACAAGACACAGACTCACCGTGAGTGTGACACAGGACACAGACTCACCGTGAGTGTGACACAGGACACACACTCGCTGTGAGTGTGACACGTGACACAGACTGGCTGTGGGACAGCTATAAATCTAAACGGATCTTGGTGAGTCGTCTTGCATCAGCGGCTTGAATGTCACCAGCGCACCCGCGCATGGCCGGCAGCTCTTGGGAAAGCCCCAAAGCGAACGCCGAGTGTCCCTCCATTCCATAGCATTCATTCTTGGAAAACTAAGAGCAAAACCCGTACAAAGTACTTTGTGTTCAGATGTAAATGAGCTCTGGTTTAGCATCGGGGGTTAATAAACAAGCTTATACCAATGTAACCGTCCCGTGGGATTCGACTGTGGGGCTGAGCAGGGGCGGAGCTGTCCCCGAACGCACCGCAGCACATCGAGCACCCCTGTGTGCTCAGTGCTGAGGGGACCTGGTGATCATGGTCACCAGGAAACTGGCCTGACACGTCTCCAGAACACTCCCAGCGGGCCGTCCTGCGCGCTGTTAGAATCACGATCTCTGGGATGCTTCAGGGTCTGTGGAGCAAAGATGAAACCATCGGAAAGGCTCTGGCATGTGTCTGCCACGCAGGAAGTGCTCAGGCAACGCGCATTTACTTCGTCTCTCCTCCCCTCCTTTGGGCCCCAGGTTCTCAGTCTGAACAACGGGGAACATCTGTCATCTACGCTGGCCACCGGGGAGTAAACTAGGCAACAAAAGCACACATCCCCCACTCCCAGAGAGGCGGACGGAACAGTGTGACAGATACGCAAAGAGACTATTACATCAAGTACGGAAGAGCGATGTGACTCAAGAGACTCGCACTTAATTTTTGGTGTCACTCTATTCCTTCCTGCTCTGGAGCGAACTCTGGGAGAACCCAGGGTCAGGAGAGGGAAATATTTCTGGACAAGGATGGGCCCTACGAAGGCAGCTTCCCTCGGAACGCGGGGCTGCACCGGGCCCAGGCCCAAGCCACAACGGACCCGGAGGAAGGGAGCCCAGACGGCCCTGCGCCCAGACCCTCACACCAGACCCTCGGCAGAGGCCGCTCACTCTCACTTCTTGCCCTTTCTTGTCCTGGCCATCTCTGGCTCATTTTTAAGTTCAGGATGTATTACCTCCTCCAGAAAAGCTTTGGGGGACACCCGGCAGAATTCATTGTCACTCCCCCTCCTGTGTCCACGCTCAGTGCACTTCCGTCTACCGTGGCGTCTCCGTGGGCACCCGTGGGCGCTCATGTGCTGGACCAATGCCCAGTCTGGTCTGCAAGAACTGCGCCTGGCTTGTCTTTACATCCCTGCCAACCAGCTCAGGACCTGGTACACAGCAGGCATCCAACAAAAGTCTTCTCCCTACCCTACCCTCTGCGCCCCCAGCTTCGGATTCTGGAATAAACACACCACAGAGGTGCACAAAGGTTCACAACACCATGATCCAGGCTACAGATGGGGATCTCATTTTTAAAAAGAAGAAAGTCTCGTGTTCCAAAGGACAGTTTATTTAAAACAAAGGTGGCAATGTGTAGGAAGTAGGGAGAACAACAAATTCTAACATAAAAGCACACAGGAAGCACCTCGAATTTAAAAAAAAAAAGGGGGTGGGGTGCAGGGAGGAAGCCATCTCTCAGACATACACGAACTGCTGACCTTGACTGATTATTTACATCCAAACTTTATAAAATAGCATTTCAAGTCAGCACTTCAGCCAGTGTTATTAGTTTTCATTACAAAAAGTTAAAGCTACAAACTTCACATTTTTAAGTTGTACATCAGCAATAGCATTTAAGCTTTTTCCAAGTTGGTTCGAGAGCAAGCTGGTGGAAGAGATTTTTTTTTTCCCCAAACACAAAAAAGAACACAGAATCTAAATACAGTGAATATAATCCTGATGAAAACACACAGTGTGTAAGGAAGGACGGGGTGGGAGGCTGAGGAGCTGCGATCTTTAGAGGCAACGTGGTATCTGCTGGAAAGGGCACTAGAATCAGAATCAGACCTGCCCTGGAATCCAAGCTCCGCCGTATTTTAGCTGCACGACCTTGAGCGACAGACTTTGCCTCTCTGAGCCTCAGTTTCCTTCTCTGTAAAAGGAGGACCATAATACCTAGATTTCCCAGAGCTATTAAGTTTGAACAGAGGGCGATTCAAATTATCTATGGAGTGAGCTTTGGTGTTTTGTATCTTTCAGGGAATTTGTCCATTTTGTTCAAGTTGCTGAATTTATTAGCATAAAGTTGTTCATGACATTGTTCTTAGCCTTTTAATATCTGTAGGAGCTAGAGTGATGTCACTGCTCTCATTTCTGCTATTGGTAAGAGCTATTGAAATTTAATGGTATAATAAGTCTCTGGCATCTGGCAGCTGCTAAATAATTGTTTCCTGGGTCAGAATATACAGTCTCAAGGACTCAAAGCTATAGCTCTTAAATCACTTCAGCGTACTGGTCCTATCTATCCATCTGTCTGTCTAGCCAGCCAGCCAGCCAAACATTCATCCATCCATCCATCCATCTATCTACCTATCTATCTATTTATCCATCCACACAGCTGGTGGTTGGGAGAAAGGACAAAGGAAAAAGAAAAATAGAAATCTGCTTCAGAATTACTGATGAGGAAGCAATCAAGATATCCTTAGAGAATTTGAGATTTTTTTAAAGACACAATTAGGTGTGGGTCATTGTTTCTTAAAAGGAGAGACGAGGTGAGGGCCACAGGGTTCCCCGGGAGCTCAAGTCGCAGATGCTGAAGCTCAAGGCTCAAGGAGAGCTCTCGGACTTATCCGGAAGCTAGTGCTCCTGGGAAAGACAACCAGGACTCACCCCTCTGCCTGTCCATCACCAGGACACAAATACACTGTGTCAGGAAATGGACCTGCGCCAAAGAAATGGACTCCTGGCCAGAGGCTCTGTCCAGTGAGACTGGGGAGCGGTGTTCTGTGCTGGGCCCGCATGGGCGGGTGCACATAGGCCTGGAACAGAATCAAGTCCGGATCAAGATTCATGACCCAAGAATATTTACGGGGAAAAACTGAAACTTTCTTTTACTTGGCTCTAGCTTAGGAAGGAAGAAATGGGCACTTCCCATCCTGTCTGGCCAAGTGCAAAGTCCTTTCTAAAATGGAAGAGGCTGAGGCAGGCCTGCTCGCGAGCACAGCAGATGGTGTGGGGGAATGCACGCTCCGTGCTGAGGTTGGTGGGGCTCACTTGGCTGTCAGACTTGACCACTAACTCAGCCATTTCCCAACCTAAAACTGCCCGTTGGAGTTATCTCTTCTGTGCAAGAAAAGGTAGTCACTTCATTTTAAAGACTTGTTATTTTCCTCTTCCCTGTAAATACTGGTCGCACGTGGTGATGCCATGAATCCTGATTCTGCCACTCACTAGCCGTACAGCCCCGGGAGACACGTTGCCTTTTTCTCTCTGAACTTACTCCTTCACCTATGAGGCGGAGATCAAGTACTTAACTTGGGAGTTGTGGTGAGGTTTGGATCGGACATCTATAAAAAGCCCACCGACCTAGCTCAGTGCCGGGCATATACTAAGTGGTCAGTGAATGCTAGCTGCCATCAATCCTTCTAGTGGGATCCTCTGTTCTCTGTAGCTGCCTAACTGGCCAAACCCTGCAGACCAACCACGGCCTCTCACATTTTTAAAAAACTGGCTTTAATTGCAAAGACCAGAATCTGGCCAGAGAAGAGAGAGGAACATTCCCTGCCATTCCATTGATTCCTAGGTTTGGGAAGCAAAAGCAATTATGGAGTCAAATTACACTATCTTTAGGTGCAGCCCAGTCAGAGCTCCCCACCTGAGGGGAAGAGACATTAAAAAATAAGCAGACATTTGCCTTTCTTTGCTGTCTCCTCTTTGCCGTGTGACTACACGCCATGCGGCCTCGAGCCAGTGCTGCAGAGGGATGGCTCAGTGCGGTTTCTGTGAAGCCCTCTGGATCCGCCCGAGGCCCCAGATCGCCTGCGTGGTGCGGTCCGCTGTCCGGCAGAGGCTGCAGAGTCACGGACTGGTCGAGCCCGAACCGTCTGGCTTTCCCTGGGGGTCCCACCCTAGCCAGTCATCCACTGCTGAAACCAAGTACGAGCAAGCCGCCCTTGGTAGGGCGCCCCGGGACAACTTAACCCAAACTGACACCGGTTTCTCCCCCTGGGAAAGGGAACGCTTGGATTAGTGGCCCAGGAGGAGCGATGGTCTCGTCCCACCTCTTACTTCAATTTGCTTTGTGATTTGGTCACCCTGTCCCTTCCCCTCTCCGAGCCTCAGTCGGGCCAGATGATACCTGGGGTCCCTTCCAGCCCTGGCATTACACGGGCCCAGATAGAGCTCTCCTGGGGAACAGGTCTCAGTCTGATATTCATGTATCCTTTCCAGACCCCTCAGCAGTAAAATAAAAAGGAAAACAGTCACATATTGGAATGTGATCACAAAAACAATGCCCTCTACCCCTGTCTGTAAGGAATGTGGAGCAAGGTGCCCCGTGCGATCTTCACATGAACAATGAGGACTCTGGACACACCTTCCCTTCTGCAGACTGCACACAGCCCCATGTGTGTGGAGAGGTCCTGGCAGGCCCGTCCCTGCACTGGGTCACGTCTCCTCTTAAGGCACTGGGCAGTATCTGTGCTGTGACTCGAGGCGGTCGGGAGAGTGCAGATGGATGAAAGGCATTGAAGCCACAAGGGGCCGTTTGCAAAGAGGATGCCAGGCTTCTCCTGGGACTCAAGAAGTAAACACAGACTCTCAAGGCTGTCCCTCGGACATGGTCCACAGCTCCAGAAGCCAGAGATGACCCACACAAGGCTGAAACCCTGGGGAAGAACTGGCCCAAACCTAAATTTTTAAACGCAGCCCTGCAGAAGGGTGAGCTTGGGTCCTGGGAGCGGAGTGACCCCGACAGCCTCCCGGCGTCACCAGCCCTCCTGTCCCACAGTACCATAATCTTACAGAAAAGAGGCCAACTGTTTAAAACTGTACCTGTACAGAGATGCCACCACACTCGGTGGGGAATCCAGTTATAATTTATATATATATGTGCATATTTATATATTTTTAAAAAGTCTTCCAGAAAGAACAATCAAAAGCTATTGGGAGAAGAAAGTCAAGACAACATGTAACACTTTCCCAGCTATCACATCCTGGAGTCTTTGTTCCTGGGGTTTAAAACTCTGAGTTTAAAAGCGCCAATACAAATCCTGTGAGATACTCTAACTGACCAACTTAAACACATGCGCGAGGCAGCACGCTGACGGGGGCAGCCCTTCCCACCGGCGCACTTCCTGAGTTCACGAAGGTGAAGGTGCTGTGGAGGGACGACGGGGCAGGAGCGTCGGCGGACAAGCCCGAGCAGCGAGCGGCCCGAGGTCACCGAAGCTGGGGTGCGGGCGGGCGTGCCGGGCCTCCCTCCCTCAGAAGTTTTGTTGCCGCCGTTTCTTAGCCTCAATGGCGTCCAGGATTGGCTGCCTCTTGGACTGGTACTTCTGTCGGATCTCTTCAATCTCTTGCTCCATCATGGGGTCGAGGGCCAGGAGCCTCTTCTGAAGGTCCTCCACTGTCCAACTCTTAAGCTAGAAGAAGTGGAAAGTATGGTCACGACAAAGCCCAGGTCAGCACAGAACAGCCGAGAAGCCCAAGCGGTCTGAGCACCCGGAAGGGAAGGGTCTTCCCAGAGTCTGGGGTGGCGGCGGTTGGAAAGTGACAATTCATTCGCGAATGGTACGCCCCAAGCTCTTTGGACACAATTTATCCCTAGACAAGTTCTAAGCGCTAATTTCTCTGATTTACTCTGCCTTGACCAAGAACTTAACCAGTCATATTTTCATCTCTCCTTTCAGTGAATTACGTTATTGATGCATTGTTAGGGCATTAAAGTAAGAGCCACGGGGCACCTGGGTGGCTCAGTGGGTTCGGCCTCTGCCTTCGGCTCAGGTCATGATTTCTGGATCCTGGGATCAAGTTCTGTATCGGGCTCTGCTCCGCAGAGAGCCTGCTTCCTCCTCTCTCTCTCTCTGCCTGCCTCTCTGCCTACTTGTGATCTCTCTCTGTCAAATAAATAAATAAAATATTAAAAAAAAAAAAAAGTAACAGCCTCTTGGTGTATGCAAAATAATGCTTGCCCCTAGTTCTTGTCCTACCCAGGAGACGAGCCTCTGGATGGTGACCGTGTCTCTGTCTGGGTCCCACACCAGGGAGAGTGGATGCTCACTGAGGATCAGATGCTGTCCCCCCACCGCCCCCCAGTGACTTAGGTACGGCCACACTGGTCATCACTAACACTTACTGGGTGCTAACCATACACCAGGCACCCCGGAAGTGCTTTGTACGCATTACCTACACGAGCATCTCGAGAACGAGACATAAGCCTCGGGCGGGGAGTGGGAAGCATAGTTGGAAACCTCTGCAATTAAGTTTCCATCATCCAGGGGGAACAGCAGGACTTGATATATAAACTAATAATAAGAGCCAGCACTTACACAGTGCTTTCTGTGTGCCGGATACTCTATGCTCTACACACATCCGTTCATTTAATCCTGGCAACAACCCTATGATGATTTGCATATATTATTATTCCTGTGTTACAGAGGAACAAGGAAGAGGGCGGGGAAGTAACCTGCCCAGTGTCTCCTGGCTAGAAAGTGGCAGGATCACTGTTCAGATCCAGGTGATGAGGCTCCAGAGTTCTTGCCCCTAACTGGAATCACAGACGAGCAGACTCACAAAGCCCAGGTTTGAGAACCGACTCAATCTGTAATGAAAACATGGCTCTGCCTCTTGCAAATGCTGAGACTCTGGCAAGTCACCCGTCTCTCCAGGCCGTCCTCCCCTATGGAAGTGGGACAGCCATGCCTCATGGTGCTTATCATGAGAATTAAATGAGATCATGGCCGTCGAGATGCTGGCACATGCCCGCTGCAGCGTGTCCTTAAAGACGGCAGCACGTGTCTCAAGCCTCTCTCTTTACCAGAGCCCAGGAGTGTGCTCATGTTCACCCCATGACTGCTGCTGTGGGGCGAGTGGTTTCGCCGCCGTGTATGGAGTGTCACTGAGTCCGAGCAAGGCCTGTCCTGGCTGGCAGGGGTGGGAATGAAAGCCGCCATTGACCACAGCAGGTGGTGATGAACTGTGAGCTTAAACCAGTCTAATAGGTGCAGTGTTCCAAGAACTCAAAGGCCCACTCACATCTTTGGGGAGACATTTATGGAGTCACTGTGTCCCCCAGCCCCTTCCTGAGGCCTCAGCAGGGAAGTGGTGTGGGAAGGGGGTGAAGGAGCCTCTGTCTGCCCTTCCTCTCCAGGGTGGGGTGCGACCGAGGGGGAAGGGCTACTGTGGCCTCCCCAGGAATGGTTTAGTGCCCTGTCGCCACAGGAATTTGCCTTGGCCTGCTTCAGGGAGGTGGTCTGAGAAGCAAGAAAAGCCCAACAGTTCAAGACGAAAGGCTCTTTGTGATGTGGGAACGCAGAGCCGAGGGGGTGGGATGCTGGAAAGCTGCACCCATAAAACCACATCTCCTTTCCAGCCTGTGTTTCAGACCAGCTGGAGGGTGTTCTGGGCTGGGAACTCTCCAAAGAGCAATGCTCGCCTCATTTTTAGCCTTTTCAGTTCCTCCTCCAAAAAGAAATTGCCCCAAACCTAACACCGAGTGTTACTGGGAGTTGAGGTATTAATCTTTAAGATCCCAGATGGTGTGTCTCTAGTGGCTGTGCGACCCTGGATGAGTGACTTCACCTTTGAGCCTCGTGTCCTCCTCTGGAGAAGAGACCCCCGTTCCGCCATTCTCGGCTCTCACGAGGACCAGGTGGGGTAACGGGTGTGATGTTTTCAGCGCAGAACCTCATGGGGTATGCATTTCGCAGACAGTAAGCATTCCATAAGCCGGACTCACCCCCACAGTTACTAATACCTGCTATTGTTGCTGTCATTACTACTGCTGTTATTATTAATATTTTGAAAAGTCTCTAATGAATCTCCCATAAACATACTGTTCTGATCCAAGCCAGAATCACACAAGTAAAAAAGAAAATATTCTACTCTATTTCAGGCTAACAATGTGTAAGGGTCGGCATTTTCCTACAACATCTGTTAACTTATTTATAGTTTAACAAAATGTTTTTCATCCACACACCCATCAAATACGCACTGAACACCTACCATGGGCTAGGCACTGCCTAAGGCACCCAGGATAAGAGAACCAAAACCCAAATATCACTGCCCTTGTGAAGCTTGCATTTTAGGAGGCGAGACAGACACCGGAGAATGAACTCGGTCAATCAGAAGGTTACTCTTACACGAGAGGGTGTCAGGGGAAAGGAAAGAAAACCCTCAGTGAAGGGAGGGGAGCTGGGAATTGGGAGGCCCGCTCGCTCTTCACCTTGAATCAGGACTGAGCGTCACGGCAGGATGAAGACATCAAGGTCAGGGGAGCGGCCCTGGCTCTCGGGCTTGTTCTGCAGCTTCAGACAAACCCCCCCTGCCTGCCAGGCCTCCGCGCCCATCCCCGCACCCCCCCCGGCCCCAGCTGCCACCCTTAGCGGGCTGCCAAGATGACCTCAGGTCTTCTTACACTCAGTGTTTCTCTCTGTAGGACCCATGGATCGTGAGCATCGGAATCACCAGTTAAAGGTTAGAAGTCACGAGCAACTCGCTCACGCTCACTCTCCGGGAGGTGAGGATTTTGCTCGCTAAAGAAGCTACTCGAGTGTTTCTTGTAATTCCTCAAGTCTGATGACCATCATTCCACAACCTCCTCTTTTTCCTCACAGCAAAACTCTCATAAAGTAATTGCTGCCTGTCTCCGGTCGGCTTCGAGGTGTCCAATTTCTTTGCAGCTTCCGCCCTTGATCTAATCTGGAGGCAACGAGCACCCTTGCTGTACCTCCGCCACCTTCAGACTACTTTACTTGCTCTAAGGCTCTGGGCTTATGTTACACGTGGCCCATTAAGACACAGCCAGCCAGTCACCACTAAAGCCTCGGTCACACTCCAGATATGGATTTTTCTGTAAACAAGCTCAGAGAATGGTTCCGTGGCACCAAAAGTAGCATCTCACCTTCCTGGTCCTTGGGAGCATAAATATATTTCAATGCCTTGCCGTGGAGCACCTGTGGTGCTCCGGTTCTGCGAGCCAGCTTTCTGAAGGAGCAAATGTGCAGAGAGCTTGAGCTGCTTACAGTGGCGTCAGGAAGTACCACCTTTCAGGACCTTTCTGCCCCCGGGCATTTACACATCCTCTCTGTACTGCGACTCCCACAGAGTACGGCTCCAGAGCAGCATTCTCCTCTGCACACCAGGCTCATGCATCCAGGGGCAGATCCTACTGCACACGGGGGCCCTGGATCAGCTCATGGAAATCCGGCACCTTAATCCGTTCCCTCACCCCCAAACCAGTTCTCACATCTGGTCTGCCCCATCTCAGAGTGGTACCGCCATTCTACCAGGTGCCCAGAATCATCCCTGCTTCTTCCTTCCCCTCACCACCTTCCTTCCCCTCACCACCCCTGCCCATATCTCTAAAACATGGACATAACTCGAATCCAACCCTTCAATCCAGGCTGCCAGCATCTCACAGCAACAAGCATAATTAAAAATACAGAAACGAACCAGATCACATCCCTCTATGTTTCCTGCTGCACTTAGCATAAAATCCAATAATGCACCAGGGCTACGGAGGCCCTCCATCTCTGGTCCCACTGTCCCCTTGAACTTCATCACCTGCCACTCTCCCCTTTGCTCAGGACCCTCTAGCCACCCTTTACTTCAAATCCTCAAACAAACCACACTCTTTCTGGCCTTAGTGACTACACAGTGACTGATCCTTCTGCCTGGATGGCTCGTCCCCAGTTCCCCCTTCTCCTTTAGGCCTTAGCTCACAGGGCAACTCCTCAGAGAATCTGACCAAGCCCTCCCTGAGCATCTTCTCTAGAAAGGTCGCCTCCCCTCCATGCCTTGTTCTCTCAGCCCCTAGTTTACTTCCTTCAAAATGATCATGGCACCTTGTAATCAATCATTTTGACTTTTATTTTACTTGCTGTGTCTCTTACTAGGACGAAAGTTCTACAAGGGCAGTGACTTTGTCTTGTTCACTACATTATGTGTTAAACTGGTTGAGGGAAAGAACAAACCGCCCTTTGTTCCCGGCCAAATAGTAATGGAAGCCACAGAAACCAAGGAGCAAGCTCCCCGAGCACCACCACGTGCAACAGGCTCCGGGTGAGATGCAGAGGGGAGCCAGGGAGTGAGTCCTGCCCTCAGAGAGCTTCTATTACTCTCAACATTCTCCTGAAATCAAAGGAAGTCTCTGCTCCCTTGATTCCCATTTCTGTCTTTGATACTGACTGGTAAGGAGCAGGTCTCCGATCCCGGCTTAGTCATCCCTCCCAGGCACGTCCACTTTGATTTTTTGTTGCAATGAAAGAGAACTACTACTCTGGAAAGAATGAGGTGATCAAAAGAAGACAATGTGATCCTTCTGGACAAGACAAATGCCCAGCCCAGAGCTACAGGCTCCTAAGAAGGTGCGCTGTGCCGAAGAGAACAGACCAAGCATGGCGATTTTCTGCGCTCTTCCTGA